AAGAAGGGGATTCGTTTGGGAAAATCGTTCGTTTTATTCGCTGGTACTCCTCGCGTTCGCGAGCCCTCCTCCGAGGAATCTGATTTATGCAATGATTTTCCCCCGACGCGCGCTTAAATCGTGACGCGAGCGGTCGTTTGTGCGCGTACAAAAAAATTGCAGTCTAGTTTGTAGATGTGCATTGTTATTAACACGAAGCTAGGTGTTAATTAGATTATTATCGGCCGTGTGAAATTATTTTGTCGACGGTCAGATGGTCGGTTTGTCGAATGCACGGAGTATTTAATGTGCGTGCAGAATTTGGGAGTGGCCGGCCGCACACACGATATGCAGCTTATAAGAGAATGTGGAAGTTGTCTTCCCCAGCGGCAGAGGAGCCCATTGGTTTCCGGTACACGCAAAAGTCTCATTAACTTTCGCCACCCGATATACATTTTGTTTTAAAATGTACTTACCGGCCTTCGAAAGAAACGGTAAGGACGGTAATTATAGCCGAGGTTAAATATAGCCTATGAAAAGGAAAACGTGTGTGCGTGCGTGTGCATCTATGCGTCTTTATATATATGTGAATAGCAATTATATACTATAAGCAAATAAAATAATAGTAAGAATTTCATTACCGTCTAACTGGAAATTCGTTACATTTATTATATCGCACCTATATTAAACCACATTATTGCAAAAGTTTAATGTTTACAGAAAAAAAGAAAAGAAAAAGAACTATCTGCCGTGGAACACTATATATCTATTATAGACTACTATTAACCACCACCAGGCACGTTCAGCTAAAAGTCTGATACACTGCATATAATTGATTGCGCGCAACTTTATATTCCAATTTGCAACGATATATAATTAAATTTATAATTTCATCTCCGTCATAACGTCGTAATTACAATTATGCTAATACGCAATTAGAATGGGTAAATGTTATACATTTTCCAATAATTAGGCATGCCACTTTAATTTACAACGTTATAACGGAACTCATCCTCTACGGCGCACATCGAAAGAGGAACATCGGCGGTTCCACGGCGGATGAGCAGCCTAGCGAAGCATCGTGACGTCGGTGGACCATCATCGTATCAATGCGGCGGAGATTGACAGTCCCGGCTATAATAAATGATATTCCCAACGTCCTGCTCTCTCTCTCCGCTCAGCCGCTCCTTTCTCTCGTGCCACTGCCAATCCTGCATGCCGCACGAATCCATCCCCGCTGAGTTCGGGGACTCGGCACAAGGGTGCTCCTGCCGGGTAGACGGAATAGCGTGAAGGAAATATATCCGTTACGAAGAAAGTAAACACGTTACGCAAACAAATGCTGGGGTCGATAATGCTCCAAGTACAGCTCAGTACGTGAGATTTTGTTTAACATATCGGAAATACAAGTGTAGTTTCGTCAGACGATATTAATTTTCAGCCGAGCAACTGGACGGATTCCTCCCGATTTCTGTTTGATCGATTATACGTGAAGTCTTATTTGAAATCGAACGCCGATATCTTTTGCCTCGTGGCCGGATCGTCAAATTGAAAAGTAGCCGCTAACATCCATGAATTTTTATGTCTTCATTCTTAGCACAATGATCGGCCGCTTGAGGTGAAAAAAATTCGTGCCTTCTTTAAAGGAACGACGACCGAACTACCTGCTGATCGGAAACTTCTCTTTCTTCTTCCAACAGTCGTAAATGTTATGTGAAATATTTTACAATCGTTTGTATGTTTTGACAGTAACATTTTTTTGGCGAAATTACTTTACAGAAAAATGAAAGCGCTCGAAAATGTATCACAGTGAGAAGCAGAGAGTTACGTCGACGCTGTAATGCCATGTTTCACGTTTGTGCCCTTTTCGGCGCTTTTAGCTAAAAGGTCGGCGAAACATCAAAAGGTTCGAACGATCGCTCGACAGTTTTTCCACTCCGCCCAGAAACACCCGCCTTCTGTTCCCGAATATTCTTTGCTATTGCTACTAAACGCTGGTAAATCTAGCAGTTATTAGTTTCTTTTCGCTCGACTGACATTACCTTCGTCAGTGACTGACGAAATTGGTGAAGACTGCGGTCAAAACTATTACGATGCGATATTTTTTGATTAATTATTACTTCCTAAATTTTTCGGAAAGAAAAACTTGAAACGGTCGTTGAAAATACTACAGTTCGTAAGAGTGAGCGTTTCACTCCAGTTTAGAACGAATTCCGACCCCATACGAATAAATGTTCCAATCGATTAGGGTGAATTTGTCCCTGTGACTGCGGAATACATCAGATTCGTTCTTCAATTTCGAGTGAAAATATTCATATTTGAGTGCGAATTCGCTCGAATTAAAGTGACTCGACTGTGCTCTTCGGGTAAAATTGTATTCCAAGGAATTTAGAAAGCACGATACAGTAATCAAAATACGATATTGTATAATACATAAATTCGTCAACTTTTGAGGAAAGTATATGTCAATCTGACGGAAATAAACAAAATATTCGAATTTCGTTATAAATAATCGCTCGGTATAAATGCATAAAGCGATAGATACGCCTAATCCGTCGGTCTGACACGGCACACCGCAAACAAAATATAAATCAATCGTATGATAATAGATCTGGCCCGTCTGGCCCAATCCCACTATTCCCAATTTTCCCAAATGACAATAAACGCCATTTTTGCACTACCGAGAGTGCCCTACTCTGATCGTCGTTTGTGCAGCGGAGAAATGAATAGGGACTGCACAAGCACATATGTCGCTCTGTGGGATTTTACGCTCTACGCAAGAGAATGTAACGTACAATAAAATGTAACGTATCAATTCGTATTGGAAGACTGACAAAATTAATCGCCAGTGTTTCCGCCCGGATGGCACAAATATCTAAAATACGTCTCAAAGATTTTGAAAAGGCGCCTAAAACAAGTCGGACATCTTTCATCCGCCCCTGCTGAGTTCGGATACTCGATACAATAATCACTTAACAATGATATTGAACAATAGTCTTTCAGTCATCCCTACGACGTCTTTTAGATATCCGGATATCAGTGCCAACGATATACTTTCATTATTTTATTATTTTAACCATGAAAATAGTCAAGAGAACTATTTTTCTAAGTAAGTGTCAGCGATAATAATCTTTCGTGCTTATGTCATTAGTTTCGCGGTTAAAGTAACAAAAGGATATTGTTGGCACCGAAAATAACTAGAATTTTTTGTCAGTATGTATAATAGAAATTTCGCACATTTCCAGAAAGCTCTTGACATATGAAAAATTTCTGAGAAAATTCCTTTTCGACTTCGACTATTTCTCGACTTTCACAGACCGTTTTGTAACTTTCACACGCAAACAAGAGAATGAAGAGAATCGTTTCTTAGTTAGGTCTCGGAACGGTCTTTGTAACTCGTAGGTTTCGCAACGCGCTTTGTCCTTATATACCTGCATAACGGTAAGATTGAAAACAGATGTCTGTAGGACAAAACATCACACGTTCGTAAATTTTAGTTTCATTGTTGAAAGCGTTCTGACAACCAATTATTGCAATCGAGTTGCTCAGGAGACGATAGAAATCCTATCTTTCTCTCCTCTATATTTCTCAGACTTCATAAAAAAATATATATTTCCTAACCTGTAACATATCGCACATCAATGAAACGTTGTAAAAAAGCTTACGAAAGTAATACCTACGGCTAAAATCATTACCACAAATACTTCCATTTCCGGCATTCTCGTCTCCCTTCCCACAAGTATCGCCCTTCGTGGATTATTATTTATTGTCATCGTTCCAGTCAGCTAGCGCAGAATGCATTTCGCATCCACAGGCGTGAATTCCGTATCGAAATGTTCCTTCAGCCTCGCTCGATCGTATACGTGTGACGCGTACGAATGCGTGCAGACGCATGTCCGTCCTGATCGGCCGTTTGGAATCCCCGTTGGTTTGGTCACCGCTCCGAACGTATCATTAATCACTTTTTCGGCCGTGCGTTACTATTTATAGTTTGTCCGCAAGACCGTCTATTATCTTTCGTTAAGGATAATTATTTTCGAGTTGTTTTTATAGACCCAGCCCCGTTATCGACACCTTGTTCATCATGTGTTTAATGAATACATCTTCCTTAATACTACCTTGATCTCTGTTTCTCTCTCTCACACACACACATACTTCTCGCTCTGCTTTCAACCATTCCGATCAGAGGAAAAGAGGGAAAAAGAATTCAACAGGGAACGAAAATTTTCGTCGTCGTGACAGTAAGCTGATTGCGAATTGACGAAACAGAGCAACACGACCCTATCGCGCGGAAACGTCGTACGATCGCACATGGCAACGTACATTGTGCGAGGTCGGGTTGGGAAGGGGGACCCAATATGGGTTCTGTGTCAATTGCATTAATAGTGGGAGGGGACTGAGCGGCATGAGCGGCAGATCGAAAGTCACATGTATATCGGGGGTGGCCTTAGCGGTGAATCAAAAGGCAGCTGATAGAGGAAAAGCGCTCCCCTGCGTTGCCTCGATTCGAAGAGAGGTATGGAGACTCGTGCTAAGGGTAGCCCGTTCCCCACTACTGATGTTTGCGACCTCTCTGCCCGTACGGTCCAGTCATAAACCGCTCAAAGTTTGCAGGGTTCCCTTTTCACCGATACGCTCCGTCCTAGGACAAATACGTGATGGACACGGAGACACAGAGAAAAGACATAGAGTAGGTAGGCGGCTAGGTAGTAGCTTTTCACAGTCCATTCCGTTTGAAGTCGCCATACTGTTGGCTTCGAGCTACAGCGATCAAGGAGTAATATCTGACACGTGGACACCGGCGGACAGTTAGTGCGAGATCAATCCCAGCGCGAGTTTTACTACGACTGCGATCGATGGCTGTCATCGCATTGATTATGGATACGCGGATACACGTACGGTGGTGGCACACGGCTTAAGTGTTTCCTCGTGTGCGATGGTGTGCGAAATCCCGAGACCGTTTCATCGAATCGCCTGACGTGCGAATATCTGCCGAGTGAAGACCAAGAAGAGTGCTTGGAATGGCGTGTAATTCCACCAACATTTGTTCGTACGGTATGAAACAGTACAAGAGGAAACAGAATAAAGCCGTCGTGTTGCCGAATTTCGTCGAGGAATGGCCGCAGAATCAACCGTCGCCGCAGAACGCGCTCCTCTACGGCCAGAATTTTCCGAACGAGACTCAGCCGAATTCGTTCCCGACATTGCGCTTTCTCCTCGAGCAAGGCAAGAAACCAACGGAGAGCCTCGCGTCGCCGGCGAATCCGTACGATAATACGTACAACAATCATTATCACGATCAATACAGCAACGGAGGTAATTATCAGTATGACAATCGGTACAGCGAGCAAATCGCGGCGCATGTATCGAATCAAGTCACTTCGACCGTCCCGATACAAGCCGGATATCAAGCAACTGCAATCTCTGGATCTGCGGCCGAACAACACTCGCAGTATCAGCAACAGGACGTTTATTACGGAAACGAACAGTGTTACTTGCGACACGAGGCATATACGAGAAGGTACAATCCGTTGCCGATGACTTCAACAACGCCGAATCTGGCGTCGCCTGTTGTAAGTCCGTTGCAAGAGACACCGCAACAAAGCAGCATGTACGCTTCGCAGGAATACGTGGCGCAACAAAATTACGCGGGCAACAATAGCGAGCAAAACAGTCCGAGCGCGGCCAATAATCCGAAGTCGCCTGTTCAGAGCCCGTTGCAAGAGACGTCGCAGAGCAACGTGTACGCTACGCAGGGATACGTAGCGCAACAAAATTATGCGTGCAACAACAGCGAGCGAGAAGGTCCGATCGCAGGTAACGGTCAGAAGTCGCCCGTTGTGAGGCCGTTACAAGAGACGTCGCAGCAAAGTAACGTGTACGCTGCACAGGGATACGTAGCGCAACAAAATTACCCGCACGACGACAGCAAGCAAGAAAGTCCGAGTGCAGCGAACGATCAGGACTCGTCCGTTACTCGGCCGTTGCAAGAGGCATCTCAACAGAGTAACGTATACGCTACGCACCAATACGCAGAGCAACAAAGTTATGCGAACAATAGCGAGCAACGAGGTCATATCGCTCCTCATAAAATCAAGCAACAACCGATACAGTATTTCCCATGGATGAGGTTTAAACACGATTCAGGTTAGTCAAGCCTTCCAGCAATATCGTGGTGCGCACGTGGCGCGCGTTGCATCACAAACACTCGAGTAATAACATTTGCGTCCTGCATGAATAATTTACGGATATTAAAGGCGGGGTTGGGTACTTTTTTAAAAGCGATTCGTCATCGTTGCTCTCGTCATCTATCGAGAAAAAAAGAAAATTAACTCGTTACCGTTGATCATTTTGACAAATAGCTCGATACCGTTATGATTACTCAAAAGAAGTAACGAGGTCAATAGGAAGTTCATTTCGTTCATTTCGTTTACTAGTTTCGTCGTGAAGTTACGTGTATACATCAGATATGTGATCAAATGGAAAATAAAAGACAAGAGCGGAACGATATTTAATTAGAAACTATGTTTACATTTAAGAAACGAATGTTTTTGGCCCTAATTGCTCGTCCTCGCCAGACACTAAAAAAACATACTTAATTTAAGATATAATTAGGTTATATAAATAAAGATTATTTCCTTATTATTGAGGAGCTTCCTGATGTTTGTATTTATCACTTTCTTCCTGTTGTTACCTCAATACAGGTGCTTCGTGATATTTGCTTATATAAACTTAGGCATACATTGTATATATATCTACTGTCAATCCGTTGGGTCTATAAAACCACACGCCTCTCTTTGACTTGCATGTTCTTGATTTCTAATCGAAATAATTATGTCCGGTAAGCTAACTTTCTTTTTCTATTTTACTTTTAGATTTTTACTAAACTTCATTTTTATTTATTTATTTTCTCCGTTTTCTTTTCTAAACTTTAAAAGTAACATGTATTTTACCGACAATCTGGATGTTTATTTAACCGTTTGACGTGGCAAGAATTTATTCTATTATATTTTTGTAAATTTGCCATCGACGGGAATTTAACATACTCTTTTTATCTATGTTTTATGACAAACATTATAAACAGGCATTTTATTTCTTAAAATGATCATTTTGCGTTGAAATGGAGATCCAAGCAATTGGAATCAAAAAGTTCGTTTTCTAAATGTTAACACTTTTTTTCGCATTAAATATTGTCTTCACGCTCCGACATTAATATATAACTCTTAACTTGCTTTTTGCCTTTCATTTGATTGTACATCCTGAAAGCTTTCATATGTGCTTTTTAGAGTTGCAATATGTTTCACAAGATTATAAGTTATAATATGAATATTTTTGTGTGCAGGCAATGAAAACAAAGGAGCACGCAAAAGACAAACCTACACTCAACAACAAACTCTCCAATTGGAACAGGAATTTCTTCAAAGCCGTTACCTCTCTAAAGCAGAACGCGTGAAATTATCCAGAAATCTGAATTTATCGGAACGACAAATCAAAATTTGGTTTCAAAACAGGCGAATGAAAGCAAAAAAAGAGCAACAGCAAAAGTTATCTGTCAACCAGCAACGTCAGCAAACATCCATGCAAGAACAAGCTATATTGCAACAAGAGTCGATTATGCAACAACAACGGCCGACCGTGCAACAACAACAGCGGACTCTGCAGCAAGAATGGTTGATTACACAACAACCACAACAACTTCAGCAAGCACATCCGGATTGTCAAAATTATCCACAGCAACAGTATGTATTTCATTGCTCATCGTAGCGTTCTTGATTATTATTTTTGGCAATAGTTTTATCAGGATCATGTTAAACAACACAGGCTTAAAAACATGATTCAAATTTATAACTTGTTATTTACTTGCTCTGTTAACCCTCGCAATATTATGTCTTTTTCGTAACGTAGGTTACCAAAGGGGATTTTACGCACATTTTATCCATATATATATATATATATATA